TGCATCAGCTTCCCAAGTAGCTGGAACTACAGGCACCTGCCACAATGCCTGGCTATTTTTTTGTTATTGTTGTCATTGTTGTTTAACAGGCCCTGACTGCGTTCGAACCCACCAGCCCTGGTGCATGTGGCTGGCACCCTAACCACTGAGCACAGGTGCCAAGCCAGTTACTTTTACTTTTTTAAACTGTGTAGCATCCTGTCTATTTTCCTTCCCAACATCATAGACAAAATCCATTCTTAGCATATTGCAAAGATGTATCTCCTTTATGATCTGAAATCTGAAAAGTACGAGAAATCTTCCTTCTTATTGTCTCACCAGCATCAGAATTCAACTCTTAACTTACACTCAGACATTAACATGCTTCACCCAAACTCTAAGTCTGAAAGAAGTGAGGCATGGAAAATCAAAGGGGCCATTAGGATTCATTCTCACCTAATGCAGAATCACCCAGGCATGGTACCTGCAGCTCTCGTGACAGTGCTCCTGCAAGAGTTCTTGGTCATGGTTGTTTTATAACTTTCCCCATCCAGGCTTTCACACTCTCATTGATTTTGGAACAACGGACACCAGTTCTCTAAGTTTGCTTTTGCTTAATGAAGCTAGTATTATTTTTTCTCTGTTGCTTGCAAAGTAGACCAGATGACATCATAACATCAGTAATTGTGTGCATGTTTATACAGGTCTGCAAACTTTGTGTGACTTTATTAATCTTTATTAATTTTGTTATTTTTCATTCCTTCTTATTTAGCAGGAATATAGATGTGTAATGAATGCCTGCGAGTGTATGTTCCACCTTCACTGTGGTCCCTGAACATTTTCCTCAGAACAATTTCTACCTACATCTGGTCACTGGTAGGAAGAGTGGTGCTTGACTTCCCATAAATGATAAAAACTGTGTGTCTGTAAACAGATATACAATCAGCAAGCTAGGATAATTCATTGATAAACAAAGGGCCACCTTGTGGGAAAGGAATCTTGGAGGCTGGCTAAGTGTACTCAACAACGTTTATGCTGCAGAGTAGTGAAGGGAGAATAAATAAATAAATGGAGAGAAATCCAATGAACACCTTCCTCTTGTGCCTCTTAAGGAAGTTAAGTATGAGATCGTTGGAGAACAATGCTAGAATTTTGTTTCCGGCCCATGTAGCTAAGCATCTTGCCTTTCTGTGACCCTCAATCACTGAAAACAAATACAGCCAGTTCTTAAAGATTTCATAAGGAGATTTGCAACAGTCTCATCTGTTCTGCAGGCCATGGTGTTTGGGGTTCTGAGAGAAAGGAGCCTTTTGGAGTCAGAAGTAAGCAGGTATCTTAATTTCCAATGACTTTGCAGAAACCTAGAAAAGATTTGTTTAGACATTTACAATTGTGCACAAGGGAGACAGGCCATTAGTGAGGACCAGTGAATCCAGTTCTAGGCCCTAGTAGACAGCATAGTAGAGCATGCCTGAACTAGGGGAAATATGTCAGGAAATATGCTGACATCCTAGCTCATCGTCGACATCATCCTCTTCGTTTAGTTAACACTTACTAAGTTCCCAGAACCATGCTAAACCCTTTCTATGATTAGGTCACAGTCTCCTCACACTGTTCCTAAGAGTCAGTACTAATGCTGGTTCCGATAGGAATCAGGACGTCATCTATCTCATGCATGAGTAAAATGATGCCAATTTTGATACCATAATCCCGTCTTTTCTTCCTCTTACCATATTACATTGCCATCTAAGACACCTAATAGATCAATTACCCAGGAAGCATTAACCCCCCAATTCTGAGAGTACTTATTACTTACAACTAAAAATAAAGCTTCTCTTCATCCCACTTAATCATACATTGCAGAGAAGTAGGTGGATGGAAAATTGTTATTGTCTAAAGAAGAATATTCTGATTTAAACTCTATGGCCCTTTCTTCAGTCAATATTCTCAATGCAAATCACTAGCAAACAATAACTTCCTAGAGTAATTTGTAATGGTTTGAACAGAGGTCAATATAAAGAATATAATTGTTCTTAAAAATAGGAGTTTCGGAATTTGAAATTTACCTCAAAAACTGCATTTAGTTTCACAGACATAGTGAATTTTGTTTGACAGATATTATGACTTTTATTTTCAGTAAATGTTTCATGTTTTCTACCTATGAGGATGTAAAAATGGGGAAAATGACGGGGATGAGGGTGGAGGCAAAACATTGGAGAGAAATGTACACTAAAGTTCAAAATCATGCTACTATTCTTCTTAAACAGAGTATGTTCATACTGTGTTAGAGCCTACACAGTCATGAAAATATAACAAATAGCTGTGGGTTGCTTTATAAGGCACATCTACAAAAGTAATGTCCTCTGTAATGATGATAGAGCTCAGGGCCATCAATCATGTGGCGTGTTCATGAAGGACAGCCAACTTTTAATTAGCTTATGCTAAATGGCTTTAGTATCCATTTAAGCAAAATGTGACACTTGGTGGAATTGCCTGGATGGCCACTAGGAATAATAACTCATGGGCAGAATCACTAGGAGAACAGCATTTGATCGGTGGACACTGGTTCTTACAGGCATCAAGAATCCATTGGGAAATGATGACGGGAAAAAACATCCTCAGAAAATACAGAGCTAACAATTTTCTATCACTTCCGTGTGAGCAAATTCAAGGTGTTAACCTCCTGTATGAAAGAAAATACCACTTCAAATAATCACACACTGAGATTTATCATATATAGAAGAAATGTGATTGTATACAGACATACTACACTAAGATTAAACACCGTGTTATAATCATATTTCCATTTACCATGTTGTTTTGGATAATCATATACTTCCCACTGAGGACACCATACATGCAAGAAGACTAGACTTTGCACTTGGAGCATGGCCTTGGGAAACTTACTTCTCTTGTCTTGTCTTAATTTGCTAAAGTGTTAGTTGCTGGAAATAACGAAGCAGAATAAAGTGGCTGGTATAATTCTGCTTTTAAAAGTCCTATAAGAATTAAAGTAATCCATGGGGGATGATTATGTTATAGGTTAAAAAGTATATACATGTGAATATGCATCACACCCCAAATCAGCCTGTCTTGTCTTCATCCATTAACTCTATGAATAGAGTTTAGATTATTTCTCTAAAAGTGGAACTCTTATCTGTGACATGGGCATATTAACACTAGCTACCTAATTTTGTAGGTATGTATACAAATTGAGTAATGTATATGCTATATCCATATAAATATCTCTAATTTTATAGTAACTCTGAGTTTGAGAAGAATTTTAAACTTGCCTGTGGGCACTTCATAGGTGGGCAATCTATCTCTTGAATTCAACAGGTGCTTAATAAATAGATTAGATGTGAGGGAGAAAAAAAGGATTAAAATATTTTGCGACTATCTTGTTGGATCTCAGAGTTTATTAGAAGAGGCAGTATATCACAGTGACCACATTTGAAAGATTATTTACGACTAAAGTGCCCTGGAGCACTCAGAAGAAGCCTTCTTAGGTAGGTGCAATTAAAGCAGAGGTATTTTCAGTCATGGAAAGGAATTCAGACGTATTCAGGGAAGAACAATGCATACAAGGATACAGCATCATGATGCAACCAGTTTGGAGAATCTTCTGGTGTTCTGGTAAGCTTGGGAAGTTGGGTCTGACGGAGTATGTGTGTGGGAAGAAAGATTCAGATTGGGATGGGGTTTATGGGCTTTGCTAAAGAGCTTTATATATTCTTATGTTCCCTATGGCTTTGTCTTCATTTGTTGCATGAGACTAAGAGAAAGAGAAGAAGAGAGAGACACACACCAAGAAAGGCAAAGGCAGAGAGAGAAAGAGAGAAAGATGGAGAACAATTTAGTAGACTTGATTCACATCTGCATCCTCATTCTACTGAGTACATCAGCTTTCTGAGTTCAATTTGCGGCTGAACTTACTACCCATGGTGATGTCAACACATCTATCATATTCTGTGTGCTTTCTTTAAACCACTACGATATGGCTTAAACAATGCAATTTTATTTCTGTATATTCTTTAAATAATCACATGAGATAAACCTAGTATGTTCCTTGGAAATGCAATTTACTATTTATTGGCCTTTTTTCACATGCTATTGCTATTCCACACCTGCTTGAGTGTATTTTGCAGTGGCAGAGACCAGTCACAATACCCATCAGATATTTCCTTTACCTGAATCAGAAGTTAAAAATATGGCCACAGTGAATGCCTGAGATAATCAAAGCGAATATGTACTTAGGCCAGTAATGATCAATGTCTTACAGTAATATGGAAATTGAGTTCAACACTCAGAATAAAGCCAAGTCTCTGAAACTAAGCAATACACATTACCTAATGTACTCGCCCACATAATTGTTTGTCTTCTGCAATTTTCACAATACAGGGATCATTTATGTGCACTTACACATTTTACTGTTGACTGCACGACTCTACAACACATTGGAGAAAAAGGAAGCCACGGTAATAAGAATTCATCAAACATCCACAATTGCTCTTTTTTTAAAAGCCTCTAAAGAAAGGCTTAGCACCAAGGCCATTTATGAACTGTCAGGAACTGTCGAAGGCAAAGCCTGGAAACTGGAGCAGGGATTGAGTTCAGTTCTTGCCTCAGTAGCCAACTGTTCTGGGACCTTAAGCAAGTTACTTTGTAAAATTCCAGGGGGTAGAAAAGCAGAAGAGAAGTGTTATCAGCCACCTGTCTTACAGTGGAGTTCCAGAACTCCTCCTGCATAAAGGAAGAATCTCTCATTGTGAAGGGGAAATGGACTTGCTAGACCTGCTTTAAATCTCCCTCAGGGGATGATGATACTCAGGGAAGCCGCCCACCCTCCAAATCAAACCAAAGTCTTGTAAAGATTGTGAAGATGGAGTCAAATCATATAGTCATTAGGCCTGAAGCTTAGTTGTTTCCTTTTCTTAACAAAAATAAACAAAACAAAATAGTAATCAGATGGAACTACCTGTATATTGTTGGGTATTACTATTAAAAATCATTTGTCAGACGTACTTACCTGGAAGGGCAGGTACCATGATCAGGAAGGTAGTTTTCCCAGGGTGAGGCTTATCCATTGCACTCCCGATGCGCTGACCCCTATGATTTCTCCAAATGTGGGAAACTCAACTGCATAATCTGTGGTAGTAGGGGACTGCATTCGTGCTCTTCCTTGTTTAAAAAAATAAAATAAAATACAAACCATTTGGCAGAAATATCAGTGTCTCCTGTCCCTGACCTGTTAGATTTTATGTTCCTTTAAAGGATGCATAAAATTTAGTCCTAAGCTGCTCTAGGAAAGAAGTTTCAAACCACAGAGTGATGAAAATTTTACTCTGTTGATTATTTCACAGAACAAGATTCTTTCACAGTGTGTACCCCACTGAGGAGGTTGTTCATTCTGACAGAGTATGTTGGGTTGCGTAGAGCATTGCTAACACCACTGGGGAGGTGCCAGACCAAAGGATAACCAACTATAAGAAGGGGTGTTTTACTTTTTTTTCTTTATTAAATCATAACTGTGTACATTAATGCATTTATGGGGTACAATGTGCTGAAGTAATAAATAGTGTGGAACACTTGCATCAAACTGATTAATGTAACCATCACCTTGCTTGCTTATTTGTTGTGGTTAAGACATTCATACTCTATTCTGAATCGTTTTGAAATGTACCATTGTGTTATGCACCTTAGGTGGGGTCCCCCCAATTACCTTCCCTCCTCCTGGGCTCGCCCCTCTGCTCCCCTCCCTCTCCCTCCTCTTCTATCTTTATTTCTGGACTATAGTTATGTTGTATCTTTCGTATGAATGTGTAGGCTTTTTACTTTTCTTCTTAACCTTTTGCTCTGTTCTCTGTCCCGGGCCTGATATCTTATGATCAAGTTAATTAATTAATACAAAGTATTATGCTTATTATTTAGGAGAAATAATGTGTGTGAATTAAGAGAAAATCATTTAAATGTCAGTTGGTTCTTAGCTATAAAAAGAAGTTTACAATATTGCTTGTTTTTTCCCCTGAACTTCACCTTTGATATTTAGCTAAGTTAACAAAGAGCATGAAATACTGGCTTTCAAAACACTGGGAAGCAAGCATTGAAGAATGGTGATGTCCGAGAGACCTAAAAACAAGTGCGAGGAGACTTATGATTGCCCGCAGATCAATGCCTTGAGAGATTTCTAAGCTGTGGTGCAGTGAGAAGACACCCAAGCAAAGCCCAGGGGAGTCCCTGAGCTCGGGAGAGGGAGCTGAGAGTTTGGGGAGACCACCATAGCTATAGTGTGTGCAGGACAGAGTACTGGAGAACAGAGGTCTAAAAAGAGGGCATCCTGCATTCAAGAGTGCTGTGGGAAACTCATCTGAACATGTGTGTGATGATTTTATCCACATCCAAGACACATATTTGAAAGGACTAGAAGAAATAGTAAGTTATATCCACAGTCAGGCATGGTACTGGTTCTTATTGGGAAAATGGAAAACCTTATAATTCTCTGGTATTAGTAAAGGGGGTCATACTTCAGTGGTAGGAATTTCCTCTTAATACCTGTCAGCAGACAGTACCCAGATATACACACGTAATTACAACATACTTGAAAGTGTGTTACCAACAGTCTGTCTTAAGCTAACAGTGAATCCATGGAGACTCCAACCCATTATCATATAGGATCTTCTCCCTTGCTTTTCTGTAATCTTCCACTCCAACCATGAAAGATGGCAGGAGCTATACCACATCTGATTATTTCATTGTTTAATCCCACTGTACATGTTGAGTTTCAGAATTGTTAACTCTACCCTCATGGGAAAACTTTGTCAACTAGAGTATCTTTTGCTGTGATTCTTACAGACTTCATCTACCTTCAGCATCATTTAGGGCAGCACCTCTTCTTGCAGCAATTTGAGTGAGATTGCTTCATCTGTTGTGAGATTAAAGCTAGACAGTTGTAACAGTCTGCATTTTATCCTGAGATTGCCATATCCTAAATGGATATGTCTGGGAAGCCATATCCTAAATGGCTTCTTAAACTTTGCATTAATTAGGGCTCAACCTTTATGCTATGAAGTTCTGACAAAAGTATGCTATGAGTTTTGACAAAAGTATAATGAATATCCACCTTCATGGTATCATAGAGACTAGTTTCACTATATGAAAAAATTTTCCATGTTTCACCTATTCAAGCACCACTCCCCCTCACTTTGAATCCCTGGCAACTGCTGATATGTTCATTGCCCGTACAATATTTTCATAGAAGGTCATATAAAGGGAACGTCCTAGTGTGTAGGCTTTTCAAACTGACCTCATTCATATAGAAATATGCATTTGAAGTCCCCCTATTAATTCTACTGGCTTAATATCTTACTTTTTAAAAAAAATTGCTGAATAGTCTTCCATTGTGTGGTTGTACCAAAGTTTACTTATCTATACTCATACTTAAATGCATTTTGGTTGCTTCCAGTTGGGCAACTATGAATAAAATACTAAAGCATTACATATACATATATGTGTGGGGAATACTGTTTCAGGTAGCATAAGTATATACCTAAGAAAGCAATTGGTGGAATGTATGGTAAGATAATGTTTAGCTTTACAAAAAAAAAAAAACTCCTCCCCCACAAAAACAAACAAAAAAACATAGCTGAACTGTTTTCAAAAGTGGCTGTGCCATTTTGTGTTTATACTAGCAATGAAGGATACTTCCAGATCCTCTGTATCCTTGTCAGCAACTGATCTTGTTCTGTTTGCATTTTAGCTATTCTACCATGAATGTAGTGATAGCTCATTATTGTTTTAATTGAAAATAAATTTGATTTTTTTCACATGCTTATTATAAGTTATATAATTTACTTCCTAATATTTAAGTATATTTTTGTAGCAAATTCAACTTCAGGGTTTTTAAATCATTTTTATTTAAAAATGTTAGGAGCCAAGTGTTTTTGTTACATGGATTAATTGTATAACGCTTTGGTCAGCATGGCCATCACCAGAAGAGTATGGATTGTACCTGATAAGGTAAGTTTTTATCCCTCAGCTACCTCCTACCTCCTTCTTAATATTCAAAGTCCTTTACAGCATATATGACCTCTTAATAGTAAGACCTGTGTATGTTTTTCTATTCCTTACACACTTCACTTAGGATAATGTTCTCCAAGTCCAAGTTGCTGCAAATGACAGTCCATTCCTTTATATGGCAGAGTGTTACTCCGTGGTGTGTGTGTGTGTGTGTGTGTGTGTGTGTGTGACATTTTCCTTATTCACTCATCAGTTCAGGAGAACTGAGTTTACTTTGTGTATAGTGCAGGTAACAGAACATCTACCATTTCTCCCTCCAGACTCTTGTGACACTATGATCATTTATTCCACTTAACTATGCATGTAAACTGTAATTACACAAAACATTACTTTTATTATTTTAAACCATTATCTTTTAGATCCATTTAGAATTGAAAAAAAAATTTTTTTTGCTTTATTCCTTTTCTGACACTTTTCCTTTATTGATGTAGTTTCAAGATTCTGACCTACATAATTTGCCTGTGCCTGAAGAACTTCTGTTAGCATTCATTGCAGATAAATTCTGCTGGTGGGGAATTTCCTCCGATTATGTCTATTTGAAATTCATTCTTTCTCTTCTTCTGGGTAATTTTGCTGCCTATAGAATTCTGTTGTTGGTATTCTTATTTCAGTACTTTAAATACAAGTAAGTCACTGCAATCTTTTTTTTGTACATAGATTCCGTAATCATTCCCTTGGTTCCTCCATAGATAAGGCATTCCATTTTTTTTTTTTTTTGTAAAGACAGAGTCTTACTTTATTGTCCTTGGTAGAGTGCCATGGCATCACACAGCTCACAGCAACCTCCAACTCCTGGGCTTAGGCGATTTTCTTGACTCAGCCTCTGGAGTAGCTGGGACTACAGGCTCCTGCCACAATGTCCAGTTAAAGACAATCCATTCATCGGTCCTTGCTGTTGTTGTCGTTATTGTTCAAGATTTTCTTCTTACCAGTAACGGCCAAGGTGAGAAGCTAATTAAGGACACAACTCCCTTCACCATAACTTCAAAAAAAATGAAATACCTAGGAATATATCTAACAAAAGAGGTGAAGGACCTTTATAAAGAAAATTATGAAGCCATAAGAAAGAAATAGCAGAGGATATTAACAAATGGAAGAACATACCATGCTCATGGCTGGGAATAATCAACATTGTTAAAGTGTCTATACTTCCCAAAGCAATCTACTAATCCAAAGCCATCCCTGTTAAAATACCAACATTGTACTTTCAGCATTTGGAAAAAATCATCATTTTGTATGGAACCAGAGAAAACTAAGGCAATTCTTAGTAATAAAAACAAAGCTGGGGGCATCAGCATACCAGATTTTAGGCTGTACTACAAAGCCATAGTGGTTAAAACAGCATAGTACCGTCACAAAAATAAGAGACATAGACATTTGGAACTGAATAGAAAACTAGGAAATGAAATTAACATCTTATAGCTGTCTAACCTTTAATGAACCAAACAAGAACTTACACTGTGGGAAAGAATCTCTATTCAATACATGGTGCTGGGAAAACTAGATATCCACATGCGAAAGACTGAACCTGGACCTGCACCTTTCTCTACTCACAAAAATAGCTCCAAGGTAGATGAAAGACTTAAATTAAGGTATGAAAATGATAAAAATCCTAAAAGAAAGCATAGGAAAAACACTGGAAATTAGTGGCCTGGGGAAAGACTATGAAGAAGACTTCTGCAGCAATTGCAACAACAATAAAAATAAACAAATGGGACTTAATTAAACTGAAAAGCTTCTTTCCAGGTAAGGAGACAACAACCAAAGCCAATAGACAACCTACACAATGGGGAAGGATATTGCATATTTTGAATCAGATAAAAGCTTGATAACTAGGATCTACAGAGAACTCAACTTAATCCACATGAAAAAAGCCAACAATCCCATATATCAATGGGCAAAAGACATGAATAGAACCTTCTCTAAAGAAGACAAATGAATGGCTAACAAACATATGAAAAAATGCTTATCATCCCTAATTGTTAGAGAAATGCAAATCAAACCATCCTGAGATATCATCTAACCCCAGCAAGAATGGCCAACGTCACAAAATCTCAAAACTGTAGATGCTGGCATGGATGTGGAGAGAAGGGAACACTTTTACATGGC